AGTTTCACCCCGAGCTTCAATAGCACTACTGGCTACCGGCTCAAACTGCGATGACCTGGGATAGCGCAAAAACGTGCACTCTTTGGTTGATACACAACCCAAATTAGTACCACCGGGCTTACACCATGCCCTCCATGCCACTGTCTTCAGGCGGCTGAAAAAGCGATGCAGTCACCAAAGCCTTCGGGTGACTGCTTCCGTGTTGGCCCATTGCATCAGTATGAAAAGTCCTGCGCCTTTGTCTCACTTCCTTTTCTTGTCAATTTCCTTCTTCTTCTTCCCATCGCCTTCACCGCCACTCACTGGTGATAATGACTACTATGATGATGATCAGGGTGATGATGATGACCATGAGGATGATGATAAGGATGACGACGATGATGATAACTATCATCGCAGCATCCTCTACATTACCAATGCATAAGAGATGATGATGATCGTGAGGATAATGATGATAAGGAAAGAAAGAGATGATGACAACCATCATGATGATGAAGGGTGATGATGACTGACCATCATGATGATGATGATAAGGGTGATGATAAGGATGAGGACTGTCATGAGAACTATCATCGTAGCATCCTCTGCATTACCAATGCTGCCTAACGCCACAATTGAAATGTATAGATAAATGAAAGAGATGATGATGACCAGCATGATGATGAAGGGCGATGATGATGATGATGATAAGGGTGATGATGATGACCATAAGGATGACGGTGATGATAACTATCATCGTAGCATCGTCTGCATTACCAATGGTGCCTAACGCCACAATTGAAATGTATATATAAATGAAAGAGATGATGATGACCATCATGATGATGAGGGCGATGATGACCACCATGATGATGAGGATGGTGATAAGGATGACGGTGATGATAACTATCATCGTAGCATCGTCTGCATTACCAATGGTGCCTAACGCCACAATTGAACGTAGCATCCTCTGCATTACCAATGCTACGCATCTTCTGCATCTCAAACCGGATCTAGCGGGAAACTCGAAAAGTGTATCAACAAGAGATAAGGACGATGACGATAATGATGATGATGATGACGAGCACAATTATGATAATGTAAGTAAGGACGATGACGATGATGATGATGATGATGAGCAGCATGAGCTGATGATTACGACCCATCTCGACCCAACTAACCTGGGGCAATGGCTTGAAGGCTACGCTGGTCGTGGATGGCATTTAGCAACACATAGCATATCGGAAGTGTTTCTACAGCTGGAGATCATTTTGGATAGCCAGAATACCAAGCTTTGATCCTCCGAGATGTGTAGCCACCCTTCCCGTGCGCCTCGCCCTTGCGGACAAGGGGTCGGCGGATATCACGAAATATTTAGTCCTCCTGTTGGTTTTAAAGGGAATGTATCACGAAGTATTTTCTCCTGTATTCAAAGGGAATCTATCACGAAGTATTTTTTTCCTCCTGTTGGGTTTAAAGGGAGTCTATCACGAAGTACTTTTTCTTCCTGCTGGTTTTAAAGGGAATATATCACGACTTAACTTTTTCCTCCTGTTGGTTTTAAAGGGAATCTATCACGCAATATGTTTTTCTCCTGTTGGTTTTAAAGGGAGTCTATCACGAAGTATTTTCTCCTGATGTTGGTTTTAAAGAGAGTCTATCACGAAATGTGTTTCCCTCCTGTTGATTTTTAAAGGGAATCTATCACGATGTTTTTTCCTTCTGTTGGTTTTAAAGGAAATCTATCACGAAATGCTTTCTCCTCCTGTTGGTCTCACAGGGAATCTATCACGCAACATGTTTTTCTCCTGTTGCTTAAAGGGAGTCTATCACGAAATATGCCTTCCTCCTGTTTTTTTCTGGGAATCTATGACGAAATGTGTTTTCCTCCTGTTGATTTTTGAAGGGAATCTATCACGATGTTTTTTCCTTCTGTTGGTTTTAAAGGGAATCTATCACGAAATACTTTTTCCTCCTGTTGGTTTCACAGGGAATCTATCACGCAACATGTTTTTCTCCTGTTGCTTTTAAAGGGAGTCTATCACGAAATATGCCTTCCTCCTGTTTTTTTCTGGGAATCTATGACGAAATGTGTTTTTCCTCCTGTTGATTTTTGAAGGGAATCTATCACGATGTTTTTTCCTTCTGTTGGTTTTAAAGGGAATCCATCACGAAATATGTTTTCCTCCTGTTGGTTTCAAAAAGAATTTGTCACGACATATTGTTTTCTCCTGTTGGTTTTAAAGGGACTCGATGCCACTACTGGACAGGTTTGTTTTTGTCCAGGCGACTTAAGCAAATGGAAGGTGATGCCCTGAAATCGTAGGGTCAAAGGCCCCGTTTCGGGGAGTGCAGGTTTGATTTTGATGGGAGAGGCCCTTTTTAGAGGAAACCGGATCACTTCTTTGGGAGACTTCCATTGGCGCTTGCCCAAGCCTTTTCAGATCCCCTGACCCCTGCGCCCACCAGAGGGCTTTGTCGACTCGAGCCAGAGAATTCGGGAGGTGGGCTTTGGCGTGTCCAATGGCGGCGGCGCAAAACACCTTCCCTTGATGTTTTTTTTTCTTTTTTTCTTTCTTTCTTTTTTGTTCTGATAGTTTGATTGTGACCTGCTTGCTCACCCAAACCTTGCATGCTGAGATTCGCCCGAAACCTCCAGTCTCCTGTTTGTTCTTTTTGTGTTTGTTTGTTTGTTTGTTTGTTTGTTTGTTTGTTTGTTTGTTTGTTTGTTTGTTTTGTTTTTGCGTGGGGGTCTTGGAGGTGGAGATTTCAGCTAGCCTCAAACGATGTTGACAAAGTCTGTTTGTCTCGCTTATATGTTTTATACATAGATATACAAGTAACACACACACACACACACGCCTGTTTGGGCATCAGAACAGGTATTGCAGGAAGATGTTGATGTGTAAAGATGGGGGTTTTGTTTTTAGAATCATCTTTCTACCCAAGAAAGCTGGGGGTTTTGTTCTTAGAATCATCTTTCTACCCAAGAAAGCTGGGGTTTTTGTTTTTAGAATCATCTTTCTACCCAAGAAAGCTGGGGGTTTTGTTTTTAGAATCATCTTTCTACCCAAGAAAGCTGGGGGTTTTCAGTATGGTTTGGTGAGTTCCACTGATGCACTGATGCACTGATGCACCGTCAGTTTCCCCCCTAAAAAAACCGCCCGCGTCCGGGTGGTTGGTTTCATCCTCCTGGCGCGGTTTGGGGCCCCCTTCGAGGCTCGCTGGCGTCCTTCAGCGAGGACTCCCTGGAGGGATGCGGGGAGCCTCAGAGGTGACTGCGGAAAGAAGGGGAGCTCAAGAAGCTGTGAGGTATATGGGTGTGCCTCGTTTTCAGGGTATCCATTTTTGACGCGGCTTAAAAGGGAACCAACAGCCAGCCCTCATTTTTGAGGGTGCCGTAATAGTGAGACAAGCCCATAGCCCATGTGGCAATTGCCTGAAAAGGGGTGCACATGAATCCCCAGCTAAAACATGTCCACCAAAAGGTAAGATTCATACCCCTAGGAGCGATCAAACGCGTGTTTGCAACAAAAACGCCTGACCGCTGCGGATATAGGCTTCGGCTGCAGGGCAGGTGTTCACGGGTGTACCTTCGTTGAATACATCAATGGCCACACACCCCTCCCCGTTTTCAGGGGGCATCCCTTCTTTTGTTTGTGTGCTCGTCCCACGCTTCGCTCAAGGAGCTCGACGCCGGTACAGTTCGCTGCGTGTCAGCGATGGTTCCACGAGGGCGGCTCCCACAAGGTTTGGCACCAGAGGCTCAGGTTTTCCACACTTTTAACGTGTCAATTTTCATTGTCAATGAGCCGATGTTTTTTGGTTTTTGGGGGCACCTCGAAAAGGGTCTAAGGTAACCAGACACATTTGCACATTCACTTGGTGCTACCGGGGAGTTCGTGACGGTTGCTGGATGGTATCAGTCTGAAGCTGATGATCGAAGGGGAGTGAAAGCTTAATCGAGTTGGTGTAGTAAGAAGCTTTGATTCCTCCCGCCCGGCAACAAAATACCCAAAAAAACACATATGAAAACAAATGGTGCTTAGATCCTTGTATACCAGGTTGCGATTATGACTTGCTCAAAGTGTCAAAAGGGCCCGTGTCCAGATGGAGGTTTGCATTTAGCCTGCTTGTTGGACTTAGAGCCTTTTCCTCGCAGGCTTCTTCTTTTTTGTTTGTTTGTTCTCTTTTTTTTTGTTGGGGGGGAGCTGGTGCTTTTCCAAAGAGGCGCGTTCCTGTCGGTTTTTGACGTGCCTTGCCTCTTGGGAGTTTCTCTTGGCATCTTTGAAGTGCAGGGCCAGCTCAAAGCCAGCCTGGTCGCTCGAGGGATGATTTTTACCTGGACCGCATCTAGGCGGACTTTCAGGCACTAGCGTGAAGAGTCCGGACAGAAGTTGGGGAACCTAGGGACAGCGACTTGCCTATGGAAAGAATGAACCCTGAATAGTTGGCTTGCTGGCATGCCTTCGCCAAAAAATTGGGTCGCCAGTTTCAGTTCTCACCCTTGCCTTTTGACAACAAACTTGTCTTTTTTGGGCTAGGCCTTGGTCGTGTTGTGGCAGAGTTCGAAAGGTTCCCCGACGGCCGCCAATTGTTGGATCTCATCGGAAAAAAGAGGCCTGCGAGCGAGCGCAGAAGACTATGCGGAGAGACAGAGACAATGGGAGAGGGAGAGAGTGAGAGAGAGCCACAGAGAGAGAGAGAGAGAGAGAGCGAGAGAAAGCAAGAAAGAGACAAAGAGAGAGAGAGAGAGAGAGAGAGAGGGAGAGAGATAGAGAAGAGAGCTAGAGAGAGAAAGAGCGCGCGCAAGAAGCCGAGGGAAGAGAGAGAAAGAGAGAGAGAGGAAGAAATAAGGAAGTGGAAGAGCCAGAGGACGAGGCAGCGGAAGACGAGAAAAAGGCAGAGGAAGAGGAAGAGGAAGCCAAAAAGCACGATAAAAATCAAGAGTGAGGAAGTTGCTTGACAGATGGGCTGCGCCGATTTCTCCTTGACGGAAGTTGCGCAGTCGCTCAAAGCAGGTACGACATAGTGGATGAAGACTGGAAAGCGAGCGAGGTCTACGAGGCAAGGGCATGTCATGATTTCTGTGCGCGTGATGGGCCAGAAGGCGTCCCACTGCGTGGCTTATAAACGACTGCGCGGGCTTAGCCCTCCAAGCTGCCCTGGCAAAACAGAAAGACAGGGACGAAGACAGAGACACAGAGACAAGGACCCAGCAGAATCTACTCTTCGGCAAGGGTAGTATCCCGTGTTCCGAAGCACCGATATGTTGCTAGTCCCGCGAGAGTGCTCAATGCGAAGACACTTTTGCGCACAGCAACGCGCTTTGCTTGAGAAGGCACGGTCGCTACGCGCGCGACCACATGCCCGCAGACGGCTTCGAGACCCCTCACAGCAATCAAGCCGGAGTACAAAAGCAAGCAACCCACTGTGAATTTGTTTCTTCCACCAGGTCCGCCCTCCTTCCCTTCGGAGCCTCACTTTCTTTTTTTTCTGCGCTCCTTTTTAACGGCCAGGTTCGCGCGCTCTCCATCGCCTCTGGACACCTCTCTTTGGATGCTTCTTTTTCGGTTGGCGCGGATCTTTGTTTGGATGGCACGTACTTCTCGGTTCGAGGACCATGCCAGGCGCCCCGGCCAGGGCCTTCGTTTTGACAGCGACCAGAGTGACCAGCGCACAACTGAACCAGGGGTTGCTGTTTTCGAGTTGCTTCCCCTGGCTGGTTTTTCAGATGAGCCATTCCTTTGAGGTCTGGGGAAATCTAGGGAGCCCAGTCTGGGTGCCAACTTGGCGGCGGCCGTCTTCCAAAAAGTATCTTCCCCAAAGGCGGTGGGCCATCAAGCTGCGCTGCAAAGGATGCCCAATGCACACTTTCATGACAGGCGCGCGGCAACCTTGCGATACTTACGTGGACAATTCTTGTGAGAGGGCCAGTCCTGTCATCAAGAAACAGCCACCTTGGCACCAAAAACCTCCCCTCTGCTCGAAGTCCATATTCTTCCCCAGTCTTTTTGGGTTTGAACATCACCCTTTCAAGCCAATGTCCCCTTTAGTTTCTCTTCGGTGAGGCAATGTCTCAGGAGACATGTGGGAGTTTCTCACAATGGGTTGGTATTTCAAAGGGAGCCAAGAGGAAGGCCTTTGCCATTTGGGAAGCCTCTGCAAACCAAAAAAATGCGAACTCCAGGGCTGGCGAACTCATTGGCCAGGCCCTGCTGAAATCGGAGGCGGAGCTGGAGGCGCTGGAGAATCTGGAGGTGATTGAGCCCTCGGCAGCCGAGACAGAGGCAGAGGTGAGGTGACCTCAGTCGGCATCCAGTCGTTGGATTGGTCGTCGGAATTGGGCTCGGTGGGTGTGGAACTTTTGGTGGTATCCTGTGATATGGGATGCTTGGCAATGGCAGTTTGGCCAAATGTCAGCTGGGAGTCACTCCCCAAACTTAGTTCCAATTGGGCAAATGGAATGATGCTCAAGCCAAGTCCTGCCAACCGCGGACTGCGAATCACCGAGCCCTCGCACGTGGGAACCGATGGGTCTTTGGCTAGAATGACTGGCCCAGTGACGTCGAGATATGTCAAACATGCCGGACCCATGGCAGACCGTTCGGGTATCATGTTGGTGTCCTTTCAAATTAGACCTTCGGGGGTGACTCTAGTTTTTTTTGTCTAAACGTGACCCCTCAAGTTGGAAAATCAGATCAATCCTCGGTTCCAGTTACACTGGAACTTTTGGGGCAAGCAACCCCACCGGCCAGCAAAAAACATTGATCGACGTGCCATTCCTGCAAAAACTGCGGGGGACCCTGTTGTTTCATCTCTGCCTGTTTTGTGACTCTTTTGGGGTCCACAGATTGGTTGGGGGGGTGGAAAACAAACAAACACATGCAACGCACACTGACTTTTCCATGTACTCTTGGGCTGGGGAAGCAGTTCATTTTGCCTGTGGCTCAGCTTGGTTCCCTTTCCAAAGAACCAGGTTGTGTCTCAGCATTGGGATTTCGACCCTCAACAAAGATGTCAGGCAACCCCGAAATTGGTGGTTTGGATCGGTGGTTTCGGGAGTTGACCCCGCTGGTTCTTGTAGAGGGTAAATAGGAACCCCCTCCACCACCAAACTACCGGGCTCCAAATGCCCAATTACTTCCATGTGCCGAAATGAGCATGTAATATTTTGCCCCGTTGGCTTTGAAAGGAACCTATCACTACTGGACATATGTTGTTTTTCTCCCCCCCTCCCCCCCCGGGGTCTTAACCAAATAGAAGATCAGAAGGAAGCTGAAGCCGACTGATCCCTGCCGCTTCCGGCAGGCCAGGCCGGTCCAAAACGACGAGGGCATGACGCCTGAAGAGCAGGAGAGCTTGTGTTTCACGCGAGGAAGGGACGCGGAAGCGCTAAGATGAAAGGGACGCGGAAGCGAGCAGAAGCCAAATGGATCTTCTCCTTGCTCCAGGCCGTGTATTTTTGTTGGGCGCGAGCCACTCGTCGGGTTTCCGTTGTGGTCCTCTCATTGGATCACTGTTTTTGCGCCTGCTCCCTAAGCCCATGCGTGAGGGCTGTCAGGCGTTGACCCGGAGTTTTTGCCCCAAAAAGGCGAAGGAAACCCCTAAAATGGAACACACACACACACACACACCCCTGTGAATCAAGGGGTCAATCCTGGCTCTCCCCTTTTCTTCGAGCCCTTCAAAGGCCAGTTGAAATGGGCAGCTGCCTTGTCGGACTGTTTGCATTAGCCTCCCAAGACAGTGCTTCCAACCAACCCAGGCGCCATTTGCTGGACCAAGTCCCTATGTCCAACTGGGAGGCCCATTGGGACCCAGAGGTTGCTGAACCAAGGGGTAAGTAGGTTATAGCCATGGTTGAGGCGATTCTCCCCAGTTACCCCAGTTATATCCACGGTTGTGAGCTACCCTCCTACCAATTTATTTACATGGAGCGGTTCGACATTCCCGGATCCGACCATATTCCTGGAGGCCCAATTGATACAGAAATTTGTGCTCGAATGTGTTTGGCGAAAAAAGTGCCCGAAACGTTTCTGGGAGCCAGCGACTTGGCGCTAGTGTAGTGACCAGAATTTGGGCAGTTGTTAAAATTGCGCTCGGTTGCGCGGATTTGCGCCCGAGTTGCGCGAAATTGCGCCCGAAGTTGCGCCGAATTGCGCTCGAAACACGGTGCGCATTTCGGGCCAAGCCGTCTTCAAAACTGTTCGTTTCCAATCGGGCAGAAAAAAGCGTTCGAACTCCGAATATGCAATTGAGCACTTTTTTCTGTATCAATCGGGCCTCCAGGTTCCTTTCAAAGGGACCGGGTCCAGAACGTCGAACGGTTCCGTGTCAAACCGGAGGGAGGGTGATCACCAAGAAAGACCCAGCCTTTAAACAGGGGCCACTGGATTTCTCCCTAAATTTGACCTACGTGGATCCCCAAGATAGAAGACCATTTTCCTTTCAAAGGGACCCCCCGGTTCCATGTTGGGAGGGTACTTACCAAGTGGATCCACAGGATACAAACTTCACCCAAAACCAGACACAAAACCTGCGAGGAGGCCGCATTGGAGGAGCTCTTCCAAGAGGCCGCCAAAGGCGGGAGAAAACGACTTGCGTTTTGGGGTGGGTGGGTGGGTGGGTGGGTGGGTGCGGGGGTTCTTAAGAAAAGAGCCTTGTCACGCTTTTTTGTTTTTTAAGAACGATGCGCCTTTCAAAGGGGAGTTTTTTAGAACGTCGTTTTCAACTTTGTGGTTCCTGGTTCCCATTTTGGTTGAAGTTAGCTTTTTCGGTGTTGTTTGTTGGCTTCGTGGTTCCGAATTTAGCCCAAGTTAGTCACTTTCAGCAGGGGCTTTGATGACAGCCCTGTTAAGAAGGGGAAACCAAAAGGAAAAGCCAACCAAAGAAGTTTTTAGAGATTGGTGAGGGAAATCAAAAGGACACCGCATTCTTTTGGAAACCCTGGTTGCTGTCCCGTCAGGTTTCCTCCTCCAAAAGCCAACGTGGCCCAGCGAGTTTTTGTCCAACAGCAGGGCCCGGGTGGTTGAGTGGATGCTTTTCGTTTTTTTTTTTCTCCTCCTTTTTTTTGTTGGGGACACGGAATCAAAATTCGCGTGATGCATCCCCTGGGGCCCCGGGGTAAGGCGTAAGGCTGTGCTAGGAGTGCCACAGATCGGAGATTTCAATGCGTGAGCCCGCACGAAGCTCAGCTTGCGCACAGGAAGGGCTGTCACATGCCGTGCAATGGCCGAAGGCTTTTCTCCAGGACCTGTCCGTCGCAACGTGTTAATTGAAGCCCGGAACCAGGAAGATCGATCCCGCGTGTCGATCGCGTGACAGTAAGAGCGTGGTCAGTGCTCCTGCATGCACGATTGACGCCTAACACGCCTCTTGTCTGGTGTGAGGCCTCCTCGCAGTGTGTGCCAAAAGCAGTAAACAACTGCCAACAGCAAACTGCATCATCCAGCCAACACAGTAAAACGGGCAAGGTATGCCCACTTGACATACATTGAGCTTCACCTGGCTGCCTGGCTGCGCATGTCGTTCAACATGTTTTTTTCTTCTTCCGGTGGTGCCGCTGTTGGGCTTGGTTTAAAGGGACACCAAAGGGAAGCACCGCCCGCCATTTTGGGGGGTCCCCCTGCGAAGGCGGCTCCCTGGGTGCCGGGCCGATGGAGCCGCAACGCAAGGCGCGCGCGATGCGCGGTGCATGTCCTGCGATCGGTGCGATAGGGACTCATCCAGGTCTGCGATAGGGGGTCATTCCATGTCGGAATCATTCCCTGAGCAGCAAGGTCTTCTTTTTTTTCCGGTTTTCCCTCTCTGGACCACGAACAAAGGAGTACCAACTCCAAAAAAGAAAAGCGGATCGGAATTTCCCGGGCGTGGTGTTTGGGCTTCAAACGGATCCATTTTCTTTGGGTCAAAACAGGGCTCCCAAATCAGCGGATTGTGTCTACTTTGACCCGAGACTTCGGCACAGAGCCAGGGTGCAGGTTAGGGGGAAAGCCCCACGGCGAAACCGTCGCCCCCTTTTTCACATGAGTTTGGGGCCAGGTTTTGTCTGTGACCCAATTCCCAAGCTACCATCAGGGTCGTTTTGGGCTTTATTGGAACCAAAGGGCCTTTTCTAGGGTGGGTTTCAAATACCCAACCGAGAATTTGTAGCCAAAGTCAGCAGTGGTTTTGTCGCGCCGAGCCCCAAACTTTGCCAGACTTACCTTCAAGTGTTGCCATTTCGGCTTTCCTTTACTTTCCTTTTCAACCAGCGCAGAGTTGCACTGGGGGGGTGTCGGTCCAGGAAAATGGCAACGCTGTCACTTCTTGGTTGAAACATTTAGGGTCCTTTCAACATGCGGGCCGAACCTTCGTCCGGATTCTCAGGCTTCAACCGAGGTCAGATTTTTGGTCAGACATCAAACTTATAAATGGCCGAAGCTAAGACCTCCAACTAGCACGCCTCAAGATGGTTGATTGCCTAACCAAAACCTGGAGTTGGGCTTGTCACAAGGGAACCTCCAAAAAGGATTCTGTACAGGATCCGACCAAGGGAAATCATGAAAAAGGGAACCAAGCCGAACCCCCCCAACACGATGGCAGTTGTGCCTTCTTCCCTTCAGCCCCATTTTTGGCGCGCCCTCCAAAAACGGGACCCAACCGCCCACCCCCCTCCCTTTTCATGGCACGGGTGAACCGCAACTTCGCTTCGGCCATGCGGAGGTGGCGGCGGAGCTGGCGGCCGAGAAGGTGGCGGGGAAGGTGGCGCAGCAGGTGGCCAAGGCGGCCCAGGCGCGCGAGCTCGCGCGCGCGCGCGTGCGAGGAAGAGGGAGGGATGGGGCCGCTTTTTCCGTGATTCTCCTTCTGTCCGGCTCGGTTTTTTTTGGGGGACCTCCAAAAATGGGCGGTCATTGTTGTTGGTTTGCATTTAAAACCATCAAACAGAAGTGCCCTACAAGAAGACACACCCGCTTGAACTGGAAATAAAGCCCTTGGTGCAGGATTTGGAGCGGAATCGTGCTTTGTCATCTTTAGCCCAAGATCAGAAGGTGGGAGAGCAGGCGGTGAATCACTTTCAAAAGTGGCGTTCAGATCGGTTTTGCTTCCAACGGCTTGTAGTCCAAACTGGGAGACCACCGAGTTGTTGGGTCCTTTCATACTGAAGTGGCTGCGGGTTTGGGACAAAACCAGTTGGTTTCCTTTCAGCTTCCATGAAAAGCACAATTCCCAAAAGGAGTCCCAATCTTTGGCAAGTTTTCGGACATTTGCCGCCCGACCAGCATATCTCGCGAGAGCTGGCCCGAGCACCCCTTGCCCCCACTCCAAATCAGGGAAGCTCCCAAGGAAAACCTTTTCCATTTGGTGTTCCTTTAAAAAACACACAAGTCCAGGGCCCGCAGAAAGAGCTACCAAAAAACCCAGCCCAAATGGTTGTCTCTCGTTTTTGAGGCTGCCCTTGTGGGACGGATGTATTTTTCTTTAGAATTTGGAGCCAGGGCACCGACGGCCACGGGTTTCAATCCCTCGCTCAGGCGGCTGAGCAGCTGGACCCGGAGAAGGAGGCAATCTGATCATCCTATTTGGTGGTTTGGACCTTGGGGGCCACCCAAATTGTGTGTGTGTGTGTGTGCGCGTTTTTGTCAGAGCCGAACAGAAACAGGCCACCCTTCTCATCGCCTTGCCTTGTGTTTGGACCTGAGGGGATACCAAATCCCCATGTAGCTTCAAGGGCGTTGGGCGGAAAAAAGCGCCAAACCACCAATGCAAACCACCAAGTACCCGGACAGTTGGTGGTTTGCATTGGTGCCTTTTGTCCCTTTGAGGGAGGGTCCCTTTCTGTGTTTCTGTGTTTCTGTGTTTCTGTGTTTCTGTGTTTCTGTGTGTCTGTGTGTCTGTGTGTCTGTGTGTCTGTGTGTCTGTGTGTCTGTGTGTCTGTGTGTCTGTGTGTCTGTGTGTCTGTGTGTCTGTGTGGAGCCAAAAAGAAACAGGCCACCCTTCTCATCACCCTGCCTTTTGTTTGGACCTGAGGGGATACCAGAACCCCATGTAGCTTCAAATTGGGCGGAAAAACCGCCAAACCACCAATGCAAACCCCCAAGTACCCGGACAGTTGGTGGTTTGCATTGGTGCCTTTCGTCCCTTTGAGGGAGGTTCCCTTTCAAATCAACCACCGCAAAAGAAGGGCGGCCAGTTTTTGTTCTTTTCTTCTTTTTTTTCAGGGCTCTTTTTCAGTCAGGTCACCCTCGATTGGTGGTTGGATGCCTAACTTGTAGAGGAGTTTTTGGGTCCAACACCAAACCGCAGTCCAAACCACCAATCGGAGGGAAGCTGAAATGAGCATCAAGAACCAGGTGCAAACATACAATGATAGAAAAGCAATAAACACCACAGCACAAGCAAAAAATAAAGAAACGGTGGCAACGCAAAAAAAGGTAAATGGCAAAGCGAAGTCTACATTTGGTAGGCCCAAAACGACGGGCGGTTGCGTCACTGGGCTCGTCGGCACGCCTTTCGCTCGTTCGTCGGCCAGGCCAAGCGCCGGAAACGGCGGGAGTACCGGGAGCGGAAGCCGGGGCTCCCGGGTAACAAGCGACTGCGAGGTAATTCAGGTGGGTGTGGGTCAATATTAAGTCACCAGAGGACCGCGGATTTTAGTCCATGTTTCCATTTGCCAGGGCAACCCATTTTGGGTACCTGTTTTTGACCCAGCCATGTCGGGGGCTGATCAGCTTTCCATTTAGGGCCGCCATGGGTCTGTTTAGTGGTTTTCCAACCAATGGTTATCCCATGTTTATCGGACCTTTTGATCAACCCCCGTGGCTCGAAAGTGTTTGGGAGGCCCCACCAAAATGGCGAGCAACGGTTGAGCTTTTTTGGGTCGTTTCTCTTTAAGGCCAACCAAAAAGATGGGTTCCAAACAAAGGCGAGCCGACAATACGGGTGTGCTTTTTGGAGGGTACCCCTTTTGTGGGCCTACCCAGGCAAGGACCAAACCTACATCCGGTTGTACATGACTTGCGAAGTGGTGGAGTGGCGTATGGCGTATGGGGAACCTCTGCACGTGGCAAGGACTTCGTTTTGGCTTCCTTTGCCCTAATTCAAGCGGGTGAATTAAATTCCGTTCCCTATTTGGCTGAACCACCTTGCAAAAGTTGTGTACGGCCCTGGCAAGTTGGACTGTGCATCCAGTTTTGGTCTTGCCATGGATACGAGGCGTCCTTGTTGACTCGGGCACTCGGACCACCTCACTCCCCAACGTGTCATTGGGCAAGACCATTGCCGGGAGGAGCTTGTGCCAGGCTGATACAGTTGAACTCTGGATCGGATCTTTCATTTGCTGAAGAATATGTTTGTATTTTCCCTTGGTTTTCAAAGGAATCTACTACTACTGGATATTTTTTTTCATTTTTTCCAGCGGTCTTAACCAAATGGAAGGGATCGTTCAAAAGGACGCGAGGAAACTGACCAGGTGGCCTCAGTGAGTTTCGGCCTTCTCACATCAATCTCGCCTTGCGAGGTTTCCTCCACGACAACAACAAAACAAAACAAGAACAAAGAGCCCCGCAACACCCCCCCCCCCCCGACCCACGCCCCGCCTCCCCCCCAACCCCGGTTCCCAAGCCCCCCCCCCCTCCCGTCCGCCCTTAAGAGCGCCTTACCGCACTCACCCCTTCCCTACCGTTGGGCGAGTCGCTTCCCTCGAGCTGCAGGAAGCTGAAGCACCAAGCCGGCGTCTTCATCCGCGCGAAGGCCGGCCTTCCCCGGCGCCCTCGCGCGGTTGGGTGGAGCTCGTGTTTAGGTCAGCTTGCTCACAACGGGATGGGTTCCGCAGAAATTTTGCGGATCCGAAGCACGGGATGCGAAATGGCCCAGAACTGTCCGTCTTCCCTAAAGTAAAGGAAACCGGAACAGCGCGACACAGAGTTGGCACCCAGAACCATGGACAGGGAGTTTGAGAGAGCAGCCCTGGCATAGGGCGACCGCGCGGCTTCTTCCTTGTTTCTTGCGAAGGATGATGAGCTTCGTTCACACTCACTGAATTGCATGAGGAGACAGTCAATACATGAGACGCGATGGGGTGCGTGTGATAGCTGGAGGTGGGCAAAAATCATTATTTTTGTGGCTAGCTTCTTTGCATCAGGGTTCAAACTGATTCGCAGTCACCACCGGTTGCGTTTTAGTTGAATTGAAGATGCGGTGGACAAGGGCTGAGATTCTTGTTCTTGGTTTTCGTGGATTCGCAGATGTCCATCCATCTTTCTGAAAAAGAAGGCCTCATTTGTGAGTGGCTTCTTTCCACCTGCGCATTGCTTCGGAGGCCTTTCCTTTGGCAACGTGCGTGGTTGCAGCCTCCTTCTTTGCGCAAGCGCTTCTTAGCGCCAGCGCATGACAGGAGAACCCCAACGTCTACGTCTCTGGCCTGCCGGAAGCTGAGCATTTCCTGAGACTCTTCGAGGATCCGAAGAAACGGCCCCTTTGGTTTTCAGCACCAGGAAATGACCGAACTGGCACCCTGTTCTCAAGGGAAACTCAAGGGACCAACCCGCCCCTTCAAAATGCAGTTCGGCCTTTGTGCGTTTTTGCTCGCGGGGTTCCTTCGCCCTGGGTTTGCGGGTCACCGTTGTGGGTCCATTCTGAAGGCTTGTAAGTTGGCTTTGACATTTGTTTTTCCTTATGGGGAAATTTCCATGTTATACCATTGACAGCTCACAATTCTGGACGAGACATACGGTCAACCTTTCCGCCGCTTGTGTGCGTAGGTCGCAGGCTCATGGCAAGGATGCTCAGTTCCTGCCCAAGTCACAAGTGGCCGGTATATTGGATACACACACATATTATACATAGTACACGCATATTATACAACTAGTGTACACATACCATGCATACTATACATAATATACATAATATACATAACATACAACATATACATAATATACATGATATACATGATATACATAATATACATAATATACTTGTTATGTACACATACAGATTTGTCGAAAGCGGAATCTCATCTGGACGCAATTCCCAACTGACTTCCACGCCTTAGGCCGCCGGATGTCACTGCCCAGGAGAGTGGAGCCGTGTGTGTGTGTGTGTGTGTGAGTGTGTGTGTGTGTGTGCGGAGTGACAGAATGCCCTGTCACCACCCTTTCGGTTTTTCAGCAGGGGGCTTGAGGCTTCTCATCAGGACTCAGGCCAACGAAGACGCCTGATGAGAAGTGTGATGCAATCCGGGACGCTGGATTGTGTACCTGCATCGGTTGTGCAATGTCCATTTGGCCCGTTGTTTCTCTCGCTGTGTGTGCTTCATGTTGAACCTTGTAACGTTTTCGCAGCTAGACGGAAACCATGTGAATTCAAGCCGAACCTTCACCTACTCGAGACTCATCAGTTGTACTCGAGACTCATCAGTTGTACTCGAAACTCATCAGTTGTACTCGAAAGATTAGCACTCTCCATCTGGAGTTCAAGTGTGTACACCCCATTCGTGGGGAATCCTCGGGTGTACCCATTGTGTGACCCCGGGCCGGCTCTGTCGGAAAATTTGACCTCAACGTACTTATCATAGAACAGCGGAATTTCACATTTAACCAGGAACGAGGTTTCACTAAAGGGAAGTCAGCCGTCAGATCATAGAGACGTCTCACTAGTGCTGCTGATGGCTGCTGACTTGAACTTGCATTGACTTGCATTTTGTCGGACTTGTTCCTCTCAAGATTGTGGAGTTGCGGTTTTGAGTTTGTTGCGCCATCATGTCTCGACGTGATGATCGTGACAGATCTAGGACTCGGCGCAGACGTGATCGGAGTCCTTCCCCTCAAGCTCGTAAAGCACGCCGACGTGAACACAATGACAGCCAGGTCTCGGAGGGCATGGATTGGAACAACCTGGTATCTTGGCAACGCAATTCCGGCTACAACTCTGCCAGCAATTTCCCGATGATGCCCACCAATTTTCAATCGACTCACAGCCCCACACAGCAATTCCAACACCCAGCGATCAACTACATGATGCCGATCCCTCCAGACCCCACGCCAACGAAGTTCATGCCACCCGTGATGCCACCACCGGTCACTACTACCCAACCTACACCACCACCTGGACCTCCTGCGGCTCTACCGGTTCGCCCTCAGAAAGCCTGGCTTACACCTTCGCCTGACTGGACACCTGGAGATGGCATGTTTGATGTCAATCAGCTCTACAACTTTAGCCTCCCCATGACCGTTGCCAACACTCCGCATGGCAACCTGCGCGACATGTCAGGCATGGATATTCGGGACGTTCGCCTGGTTCAGGTTATCCATGGGGGCCTCACCAACTGGCTACTCCGACCGTTCGCTCACGGCAGATTCGTGACGTGGGAAGGCTTTCGCACTCGCACCGAGGCCTTACTTTGGAGTACCTGTTCCAAACTACTACGACGATCACAGTCGCTCAACCTGCTCACCCTGGAAAAGGACCTTGCCAACTCGCTGGGTCTCAACATCGATGACTTCAATCAGCGGATCAAGGTTCATGACCATTTGGCCAGCTTGGTACTTCAATTTCTTCAGCAACATCACACCTCTCTCACACCTTCCACCCAGACAGATGACATGGTCAAGAAGTACAATGATCTAAATCGTGCGCACGAACTGCTCCAAGCTCAGTATTCCGCATCGCTGCGCGCTTCGACCTCTCCCACGATGGCAAGCCAGAAAGATGATGCAGAGTTGGTTACACCGCCACCGGTCAACCACACACCATCCTCGTCACCTGCCAGCTCCCTTCCTACAGCCAGCGCAGCGGCCCTTGATGGCAAGTCGTTTGATAGCGCGGTGCAACCTCGGATCATTCAGTCTCTTCACGGAGTGTCGTCACCGCCGTCCAAGCCGGCGGCGTCACAATTGCTCACCATGCACAGCACGCCGGATGAAGTTGTCAAGTACTACACATGGACCAGTGACCAGCCTCGCCTTTATCTCAAGCAATCGCCCACAACCACGACTTTGGCGTCACTGGTCAAGTGGGCCAATCACCCGTCCCGGCTCAACGGCAACAAGTCATTAGATTCCATGGCGACGCAGCTCCTTCAAGCGCGTCAACGCATGCCGAAAGGCGACGCACCTACTCTCGGGGCGATGGCGGCTTCGTGGGGACTGGAGCCCGGCTACCTTACCAAGCTCACTGAGAAGGCATTGAGTCACCTCATCGTGACCGCTCGCCTACTCAGCGGATGAGCAGGCATCTTAACGACCTTCGTTCTCTTATGAGCCCGGAGCGGCAACCATGTCACGGATGAGTCAAGGTTAAAACTCGTCCGTCATCTTTCTGCGTTGCACCAGTTTGATCTTGTGCTTGATTGTTCTTGCATTGCCTTGTGTGTGATTGTCTGTGCAGCTTGTATCCATGTCGCCGCCTTATGGTAGATTTCATTGGTTGCATTTTCACCATGTTGGATGAGCTTCGCCGCTGTGGAATCTATGATGATGTTGCACAATGGCAGTCTCTGGACAACTTTTTACACTCGTTGACCATGTTCTCTACGTGCTGGCAATACTGCTTCCCTGGACTACCACCACCGTCGATACCAACTGATGAGTACGAATCAATCACACAACTACCGTGGTTGGGCCTCATTCTCGAAGTCTTAGTTGTGGTCCGGATTGCCCTTCAGATTCCGAATCACGCTATGTCACACTCTCAGCACACTGTGGCCAACAGGTATGAGATTCATAGATGTCGGTGCACTGCCTATTTATTGATCAGTTTCTTACAACGTCTCATTTCCCAAGATCATGGCTACTTTCCGCCGTTCTTTGAAGTCCTTCACTTCTACAAGGCTTCTCTCTTGTGTGAAATCATGCACTCCACTTTTGCCGACACGCGACATCTTCGCTCATTGCGGGCACGATTTCCTGACCTCTATGACTTCATCACGATCCAGGTCATCATCAACAACCGTGCGTCTACATCCGACTTTCCCCATGGCACACACCTTACTACGTTGGTGCGACTGATCAGGATGTTCTACGACGTGAACACTCACGCAGTCGCAAATTTCTACAACTACTTCGAGGACGTCATGCCTTCTTCGAACCCGCGCTTCACTACTGGAAGCGATCCAATACTTACTGGCTCTTCTGTGCTGTTCCGGTTGAGATCAAACTTCCCGTTTCCTCGGTTTGGGTCCAAGAAAGTAAATGGCAATACTTGCTACGCCCGCATTTGAATGCACCCTGGGTACACAGACTTTTGCGAAAGGTGGGCTTCCGGGAACACCTCGTTGATTTTCGACGTCACTCGTTGTCGTCTCCCACTTCCCTCAGCTTGCACAAACGCTTTCGACGACGACTACATCCGGATCTCCAACGGCAACTACGACCCGACATGCTGGATGACATTCAGGCCCATTACTCTATTCTCTATCAGCTGGGATCCAATACAGGAGCATCGTTCCAAGCCATGCGTGACCTACTGTCGGCAGCTTTCCCTCCTACTCAGCTGTACTACTTTCTGCGGCTCTCCGTCTTTGTCAACGAGCCCTTCCGCTCCAAGGCGCAGAAACTCCTCGCCCAGGTGTTGCGCAAACGACGGCTACAACCACCCACCACTTTGACACAACTACTCCTACCGCCTCTACATGTCCGGAATTGGAAAGCTCTACTTGGCACATGGTTACAAAGCTGGATTGCTTCTCATCGGGATTTGTTCCCTTCTCTTTTCCTTCCAAAGATCCGGGTGGTGGAAACTCGCAGTGCCACGTTGGGCGACAAGATCTACAACTACCGCACATGGCAGCGCAGATGGACTCCTGAAACATCCTTTCCGTGTCGCTGTTTGGACATCGATGATCACCATATACACCGAGCACATGGTCATGCTGTAATGGTTGATGAGTTTTCTCGCATCAATGCGGACATTGACATGGAAATCATGGCCGCATCAATGAAGGATCAGTACTTCGGTGATGTCGACTTATTACATCAACGTTTCACCACGCAACTTCGCAAACTTGCTCGTCGCTGGCATGTGCATGGTTCCAGTCTTCTTGCAGATCTGCAGCCGGTTTTGACTCAGTTAATGGACACTCATCGAGCTAACCTTCAAGATCGTGCTTATTGGTCATCGACATCGTTGCAGCGCACCGTGGCTTCTCTGTCATCGTGGGTTGTTATCCCTGCGGATCATTTCCCCTCCCGCGCACATGTGATTTGTCCGTCCCTGTTTGCCATACTGATGCGGAAGACCTTTTGCTCGGGAGATGTCTTCTCGCTTTGCCGTGAATCCGCAGCATCTTTTCGCTCTGAAGTGGTAACTACGGTACCTTCCCTCCTACGTCAACGATATGCATGGGGACTTCGACTTCAAGCACCGTTGCCCACAGCACGCATCCTTCCAAAGCCGACCAAGGACTGGCAGAAAGCACGACCCATCATTTCATTCTTTCGCACGTGGGCAGCTCCCTTCCTCACGGTCTTCGGCGCACTCATATTTGAACTTACCAAAGCTACTTTTCCCGACATTGCAGGTCAACTTTCAGTACAAGAACTTGTCCAGCAGCTGTGGGAATCGCTGTCAAAGGCAGATCCCGATGAATACATCCACCTGGTGTCGCAAGACCTGTCAGGCTTCTTCACGTCCATTCCTACGGAACGATTCCACCAGGCACTACAAGTGCTTCTCCATCGGTACGATCAAGTTGTTGGCCTTCGCAGATCCTCTCAATGGTCAGTGTTCGAAGTAAAGTCGGATCATCGACGCCGTATGTTCAAAGGAAAATGGCGCCGTCAAACCAAGATCCCTCGAACTTTTCATGAACAAGATCTCCGGCACCTTCTGGACTTTGTCATTGACAACAGTCACTTCGAGATCAACGGATACTTGTTCCGCCAAGAACGGGGAGTCGCTATGGGATCACCAGCCGCGCCACCGCTATGCAATTTGGTTGCCACGGTTGAGGATTTCTTCTGGCACCAAACAATGTGTTCTCTGCGTTTTCGCATGCCCGACATTGGTGTGATCTGGCATGAGCGCTACGTCGACAATCGTTTCATTCTGCTTCGTGATTCAGCCCCACACTCGCCCG